ATTCTTTATTTTTATTATTTCTTCTTGAATATGAATAACTCATAAATTTTCTCTTTGGATACTGTCCCATAAATCCTCAAAGTTTTTTCCCCTTCCTTTTCATTTTTTTCTTCTTTGTGTATTTTTAAATAACCTGCCTTCAATTCCACAGATTCTTCTTCTTGATCAGTTCTGCTATTGATTTTCTTTATTGCAGTTTTTTGTTTTCTTCATTGCATTGTTTTGCTTTAGGACTTCTGTTTGATTTTTCAAAAATTATTTCAATTCATGTGTTAAATTTCTTGGGCTAGTCACTATTTCCTCACCTAGCTGAAATTTTTTCTCTGTATTTCATGAAAATTCATTGGACTTCCTTAAAGCTGTTAGCTTGATTCTTTGTCAGGCAGTTCATACATCTTAATCTATAGTGTCCTTTACTGGCCCCCTATTTTGTCTGTTGGGGGAGGCCATGTTTCCCTGATGGTTCTTGATCTCTGTGGTTGTGCAGTGAATTCTGTGCATTGAAGAAGCAGGTGCTTATGACAGCCTTCATAGTCTGGCTTTGTCTGAGAATATCCTTCATAACTCTGATTGGAAATTTGTCTGTGGTCCCTAAGCTCAAGACTGCTGAAGCTGTTACAGTGCTGGAAGGCACATCTAAGCCCAGTACCACCAGGGCTGACACGAAGTGCTGGGATGCTCTTAGAGCCCACAGCTGCGGAGGTGGTATAGCATTGGAGTACGCCTCAAACCCCTGGCCACCAAGACCTACCTGTCACGGTGAGTTATTTGGAACCCAGGGAACTTTGTCAGTTGTGGTGATGCAAGCTGGAACTCAGATATATCTCATGGCGTCTACATGCTCCTGTTTGACACTGAAGTGGGGCAGACAGGAACAATCTGAGTATCAGACTGAAGTCAGGGCCATGGGGGTGCTGGGTTTTGCCATGGCGAACGCATTAGGAATTCAAAGCAGAATGTTATGCTTACTTCTCTTTCCCCCAAGTGGATGTTACCCCTCTCTGTACGGCATTGCATAGGGTTGGGAAAGATGTGATTCAGATCATGTAAAACTAGGCTTGCTACCCTCTCCAATGCATCTTTTCTTATTAGTATGCAATAACCAAATACTGTGATTTCTTACCTGGTTTCCTTAGCTCTTGTGAAGATATTATTTTGAATGGGTAGTTGTTCATTTGCAGGGGGATGATTACTAGAAAGTTCTGTTCTACTGCCTTGCTCTGTCTGTCCTCTTCTGCTAGACTCCCAGTATTTTCTTTATTTTCATTTATTTGAAAGTAAGAGCAAGAGAGAAGGGGGGGGGGATCTTCATTCATTGGTTCACTCCCCAAATGCTCACAACATCTGGGGCTGGACATGGCCAAGACCAGGAGTCTAGAACTCCATCTCCATTACCCATGTAGGTGGCAAGAGGCCCAATTATTTGAGCCATCACCTACTGCTTCCCAGGATGTACACTGAGAGGAAGCTGGATAGGAAGTAGAGGCAAGACTTGAACCCTGGCACTCTGATATAATATGCAGGTATCCTGCCCCTACTAGTCTTCTTTAAAAATATGAGAAATTATTTTTAAACAAGACACTTCTAGTGGCAGGACCATTTTTGGCAATCTTATCATGGAGCCCAAGACATAGTAAAGGTGAAATTATTTTTTTTTAATTTTTAAATTTTTTTGACAGGCAGAGTGGACAGTGAGAGAGAGAGAGACAGAGAGAAAGGTCTTCCTTTGCCGTTGGTTCACTCTCCAATGGCCGCAGCGGCCGGCGCACCACGCTGATCCGATGGCAGGAGCCAGGAGCCAGGTGCTTTTCCTGGTCTCCCATGGGGTGCAGCACTTGGGCCATCCTCCACTGCACTCCCTGGCCACAGCAGAGAGCTGGCCTGGAAGAGGGGCAACCGGGACAGAATCTGGTGCCCCGACCGGGACTAGAACCCGGTGTGCCGGCGCTGCTAGGCGGAGGATTAGCCTGGTGAGCCACAGCACCGGCTTGTAAAGGTGAAATTATTAAAGGGTTATCAAACCCAAGGCATTTGGATGGCAGTCAATACTGATTTTCTGCCATCTCAGTAGTGTTTCCTGTTCTGTATTCCTACCCCCACTACCCCAGTTCAGGCCTTCAATAGTTATCTCTTACACAACTCTGTAGGCCCTGTAACTGGTCTCTGTTTCTGGTTTCACATTGTTCAGGTTCATGCTCCTGGGAGCTGCCAGAAAGATTTGTTTTTAATCACCTGCTATACCACTGCTTAAAATACTTCAGAGGCTGCCCTGTCACTGTCATCAGAATAATCATAACATTATTTTTATCTTAATGTGTACAGACAGTTGGCTAGGTGCTTCAGGAGTTGTTTAACTGCAATGCCTCTAGTGCCGTTTCTTGCAGATGTGGAAACTGAGGCTTGATGAATTCAAGGCAGTAGCGTAGGGTCATGCAGTTAGCCGGTGCCAAGTACAGGACAGAGGCAGCTTGAGTGCAGAGCTCATGCTCCTAAGGGCCGTACGGCACTGAAGCTCATTCACTGGCTGATGGCTCCACTGAGGCACGCAGAGTGTTCCAGGATCTGGGTCCTGCCAAACTGCCCAGCCTCAGCACCTGTCACTCTTCTGGAACTGCATCTGTCCATTTGAGAAGGCTGTAGTTCTCTCTAAACACTATGCCTCTGGGGCCAGCACTGTGGCATAGCTGGTAAAGCCACCGCCTGCAGTGCCGGCATCTCATATGGGTGCTGGTTTGAGTCCTGGCTGTTCCATTTCTGATCCAGCTATCTGTTATAGCCTGGGAAAGCAGCAAAGGATGGCCAAAGTCTTTGGGCCCCTGTACTCATATGAGAGACCCAGAAGAAGCTCCTGGCTCCTGGCTTCGAATTAGCACAGCTGTGGCCATTGTGGCCATCTTGGGAGAGAACCAGCGGATGGAAGATCTCTCTCTGTCTCTCTTTGCCTCTGCCTTTCTGTGACTGCCTTTCAAATAAATAAATCTTTTTAAAAAAATACTATGCTTTTCTTTCTTTTATTAAAAAGATTTATTTATTTGAGAGTCAGATTTACAGAGAGAGATCTTTCATCCACTGGTTCACTCCCCAAATGGCCCCAGTGGGTGGAGCTGGGCTGATTGGAAGGCAGGAGCCAGGAGCTTCTTCCCGGTCTCCCACACGGGTGCAGGGGCCCAAGCATTTTGGCCATTTTCTACTGCTTTCCCAGGCCACAGCAGAGAGCTGAATCGGAAGAGGAGCAGCAGGGATGGGAACCGGTGCCCCTATGGAAAGCTGATGCCACAGGCAGAGGCTTAGCCCACTACACCACAGCACCGGCCCCCACTGTGGCTTCATCTCAGCTGTGGCCTCGGCTGGTGGGCTTGTCTGTCCCTTTCCCCAGCTCCCACTCAAATAAGCTTGGAGCAATTCTTCTCCCTTTGGAAGAGTCTCCTAAAGGTAGGCTTCTGGGAAGTCTGAGTCTGATTTCCAGTCAGAGGTAAGCAGTTGTTTTTCCATGTTCCCATGGTCACACAGCTTTCACTTGAGTTCCCATGTACTGCTCTGCCTGTGGCTACAGCCTTTGCTCACATATGTGTTTCCTCCATTAGACCAGTGGTTTCCAAAGTGTTCTGATTGTTGTTCTCAGTATCCCATAGATTCATGTAGCCTAGATATATATGTGAAATACAATATCCAAACAGATATATGTGTATTTCTGTGGTAATATTTATGTGCAATATAAAACATATCAAATAGAGCATTTAAAAGAGTAAGATAAAAGGTGATATGAATGATACTACTAAAGTTAGTTTTTATTTTACTTTTTTGACAATGCAAAATATCCTTTTGCTGTCTGACCAGAGGGGTATTTTTATGATTGTATTGTACGTGTGTGTGTGAACAATGTAATTGATTGAATGACAGACTTTATGATTTAAACATCTAAATGTGACCCTATGTGGTAATATGGTTCAAAGCTCTAGTAAAATTTTAATTTAATACTTTAAAGATTGTAATATCTGGAAAAGACAGTCTCTTCATACACGCAGTTGCACTTTGAAGAAATCACTAGATGATAATCAGTTTTCATTTACATGAATCAGTACTGCAGATATTATTAATTTTTTTTTACTCGGAACAAGAAATGTTATTAAATCCAGTGCTGGTAAATACCAAATTATAATAAGTTTATTTAGAGGAGACAGAGGGAAACTTCAGATACTGAGTTGAATTTCTGGGCAGATTAAAACCTTTAAAGGCCAAGAGTAAAATTGTTCATAAAATCTTTTTTAGATATAGGGCTTTCTTCTGGGAATTTTCACTAGCAGTTCTTAAAATAAGAAGGTCAACTAATCTTCGATCTGTCAAGTTAAATCAGAAACAAAGCAAATAAGATAAAATTTCTCTAATGTATGAGGTTGTGAGAAGGTTTGTTTTCTTTGTACTTTCACATTTTAATGTCTATATTTTAAACTTCTAAAAGTTTATCATCTTAATTTTTGACTTTTAAAAAATGATAAAAACAATGGATCTTCTTGAATTACAGATCATAGTAGCTTTATAAGCAACCAAAATGAAAAAACAGCATAATTTTAGATGTTTTTGAAACACATCTCAGGATATACCATTGTGATGAATACTTCTTTTTTGAGTTTGTTTATTCTTTTGAATAATGAAGAATTTTCAATTTATCTTACAGTGAAAATTTAGCCTTTGAAAACCATAGGTTAAATAGATCATAATGTGTAACTTTCAAAGTTTTCTCAACAGTCCTTCGATCCAAATAATCTTGCGGACACTTTTTTTCATTACATAATTATTATATAATTATATATAATATATAATAATATACATAATAATGGGTTCTTATATTGGCAGTTTGATTTGGTCATGGATTACTCTTGCAAAATTGTCCTTTCAGCCTAGCAAATATGAAAACATCTTTCCCAAGAAAGGAAAATAATCTGGATTATTAACAAAATCATATTTCAGGGCATTCTTGAAAACAGTCCTGGTTCCTTTTCCTTTTATGCTTCTTTATAACTGTGCAGTCACTGTCCCATTGTCTTCTATTCGTAGAAACAAAAACAACTTTTTTTGAAGATAAAATTTTTCCTTGGCACAGAACTATCTGGAATGAACCCTAAAGAAAGCGGAATGTTGAGCCTCCACGTAGTTTCCTCCTCTTTTATCCACATTCAGCCACTCTCTACCAATAATCTCATCACAATCCAGTTCTTGGGTTAGACAACTGACAACCAGAAGTGAATAAAGCTCTTCAATAAAAACGAACAGATGAAAGCGGCTCTGCTCCTGCGTCTGAAACCTGCCGTCCAGGGCTGCTTCTCTGGCTTGGGATGTGCCCAGATGTGCCCAGAAACATCTGGTTGGCTTCTTCAAGGGCTGTGGATACTCTGTGTCCTGTGCCACTCAGCTGCTCCTCTTGTCGTAGTCCTCCCGGTTATCAAATTCCTCACGGTTATCAAAGCCCTCGCTTTCAGAGTCTGGGTACGAGATCTGTCTGGGCTGCTCCCCAGGGTTAGTAAGGCCAGGCGTTTATTGGCTGGCGCTGCCACTGGCTGAGCCTCCTGGGTCGCACCTTCCTCTTCGAGCTGTGGCGGAGCCCGTAGCGGGAGGGACGCAGGAATGGCTTTCGGGTTCCGCTGTCTACCTCCACCTGCGGAAGGTTGCCCTCGCATCACATCCATCTGCAAGGTCATTGCACTCTTCATGCAGCTGCAGCAGCTCTACCATTTGCGACTTTGTAGAACCCGCTCAGGTTCTTGCAAAATGCTCATTGTTGCAATTTGACCTGTAGATTTTCATCTTTTCTGATGTAGTCCTTCTGTTCTTACCAACTGATTGGAAGAGGCTATGTTTTAATATTTTGATGTTAAATCCTCACTGTACTTTCATGAAGACATGAGACCAATTTAGATATTCTTGTTTGTAGCTAAGTGTGCAGATGGAACATTTTAAAGAAAAATATACTTAGATAATTTTCAGCCACAAAAATTCTCTAATTATAGAACATTTTCGATAACCCTTTTTAAAACATTTTCTCTTTCATTCATTTCATTTTTTAAAGTTGTTTTCAAAGTAATTTATTGATAGGGGACATATTGTGTTTTTACTCTAAAATATTTATCAGTATGGGCGTATGGTATAGCATTTAGGATACTTGTTAAGAGGTACATATCCTATATCAGTGTATCTGGGGTTGGTAACACCTTCAGCTCTTCACTATGGTTTCTTGCTAATGTAGACACTGGCAGGGAGTGGTGATGACGCAAATGATTGGATTTCTGCCAGCAACGTGGGAGATCTGGATTGAATTCCTGGTTCCTGGCTTCAGCCATCACTGACACTTGAAGAGTAAACCAATAGATGGGAGTTTTCTGTCTTTCTGTATCTCTCTCTCTGCTTCTCAAGTAGATAAATAATTTTTTAAAAATGTGAGGTGACTAGAGACCAAGAATCAAATTTAGAACATCCACATATTTGTTAAATAAAACTGTGAAACATTTTCTATGAGTCTTTCAAGGATTTGCAGGAGATACCATTGAACTTTAATGGTATCCATTTTTATGTGAAATAAAAGGTTTTCCTGGAGACTACATCATTGCAATATGTTTTAAAGATTTCATTATAATTTTAATATGAGTCTATAAAGTCAGCCATGTTGATGACATTCTGCTACACATTTGCATTTCTACTTTCAATCTGTTTTGCTTCATTAGCTTGCCTACAAGCAGTGCACTGAATGGATTTGATGTGTCACCTTCATAACCTTACGATAGAATTATTTTTTGTTAATTCCTGTTAATGCAGGTGTTCCACCAGTAATTGTATTTATACAATTTTCTGTAAAATATTGATTTTTCTTAAATAATTAACATACAATTGAAAATTTATCTTCAGCTTCTCTCATTGTTGAAGTCTCTAAAGAAGTAGTTCTTTATTTCAGTATTGAAACTGAATGTAGAAAGTACAATAAATTGACATAGACCAGAAACACATGTTCCTTAACCCAGCTGTACAACATATGTCATCCAAAATGCAATTTGCTTTAATACTATTTAAACCAATGTCTAGTGTTTTTTTTCTTTGCACCCTTGATATTACTTTCTGGAAAAAAATTTTGCTTTCTTGCCATATTATATTTTAGCCATTTTCAAATTATATCCATAAAAATCTTTCTGAACATTTTGTTTTGGTTTAAATTCTGTATAATTTTTTTTATTTTCTAATTTTATTTAAAGATTTATTTATTTATTTGAAAGGCAAAGTTACAGAGAGGCAGAGACAGAGAGAGAGAGAGAGGTTTTCCATGTACTGTTTCACTCCTCAAGTGACCACAACAGCTGGAGCTATGCAGATCTGAAGCCAGGAGCCAGGAGTTTCTTCTGGGTCTCCCATGTAGGTGCAGGGGCCCAAGCACTTGGGCCATCCTCTACTGGTTTCCAAGGCTATAGCAGAGAGCTGGATTGGAAGTGGAGCAGCTGGGACTCAAACTGGCACCCATATGGGATGCTGGACTGCAGGTGGCAGCTTTACCTGCTATGCCACAGCGCCGGCCCCAAATTCTGTATAATTTTAAATAGAGTGTTGCCTGATTTCAGTCACTTTTGAAAGAAACAAATCTAGAAGTTTTCATATTCTGAATGCTTTGTTGTTAAATATCTTTCTAATCCTGTTTGCTTCTCACCAGTACAAGCTAGCACCATAGATCAAAATAAGGAAAGTTCCTCTGTAACAACAGCAGAGACAAGTCCATATTTCAAATAATCTATAATTTTGAATATTTTACCTACTGGTTGCACATGATTCAACAGCCATGGTCTTCAACCTTCCAGTATGACTGGTGCAGAGTAGCACTAGGAACAGAGAGAGAGCGAGCCGTCTCTGTCATGTTCTTGTTCTTTGCTTGAAATACATTATCTTTCATTAATGGCTTTCTTTCAGAAATATTGTTAAACCTTTGTCATTTTGTGAGTTGATTTAGTTCACACCAGATAATTACAGGGAAATCACTTCATCAATCACGGTAAAACGATATATTGCAAAATGATGAAAGAAAATGAACATATGAGAAAAGTCTTCCACTGTGACATATCAGGGACCCTTTGTGGTGAGGTCTAATACTACAGGAAGTATGTGACTGTCTAGCACACAGACCATACTGGCCCAGGGTACCAGTGTCAGTCCATATTCAAGTAGATTGAATGTTAGCACTGATCCTTTCATTCTTATTTTGTAGATGACAGTTAGTGCACATAAAAGTCTAGTTGGGGTTGGGTGTTGTGGGGTGGGCATTGTGGTTTAGTGGGTTTAACCAATAAATGGGATGCCCGCATTCTGGGTTGAAGTGCCACTCTTGAGTTCTGGCTGCTCTACTGCTGATCCAGTTCCCTGTTATGCACCTGGGAAGCTGCTGACGGTGGCTGAAGTACTGTCACCCACCTGGGAGACCAGATGGAGTTCCTTGTTCCTGGCTTCAGACTGGCCAAGCCCTGGTGGTTGTGGCCATTTGGGGAGAGAATCAGTGGAAAGCGTATCTCTCTGTCTCTCCCTCTTTCACCCTGCCTTTCAAACAAATAAATAATAAATCTTTTTTAAAGAAGTCCAGTTGTAGTTCCAGGCACTGGGATCTGCAAGTTCAAGGGCCCTGAGACAGTTGTATGCTTGGTATGTTCAGGGAACAGTGCAGATGCCAATGTAGCTTTCACGTATTCCCATGAGAAATTGTTTTAAGAAAACTAGTTTTTCACAGACATAAAAATGAAAAAGCTCTTCTCTTTGGAACCTTGGCCATGCGATTGTTTTCCCATCCTTATGTGAGTAACATACTGGTCTCAGGAGAACAACTTTGAACTGGCATTTTCATATTTCCTCCTCATCCATTTTGGCTTTTCGTGGTGTAGCAGCCTGTGGACCAGTCACTAGAACATTTTATTTGAGTGGATAATCACTGCCACCTCTTACATAGACATTTGGTTAAAAATAATTTTATAATAATCTTGCCTTTTCCTCTGAAATTGATTCTCCCAGTGAGGGAATAGGAATGTAAGAAGTGTTGAGGAGAATTTGCTACACAGGTCTTGTTTATTTTGACTTCAGCATCAGACTTAGAGCAAAGAGGGTTGTTGTTATATTTTCTAGTGTGTCTTAATTTCAGGTCTCCTTCAAAAGGCGATGATTTTATTCACATATTGTTTGGAAATTGACACAGTAGGAAGGACAAAAGCATTTCAGTTCTGGGTACCACTTAACTGTGTGGCTTAAACATGTTTTTTTTTTTTTTCCCTGAGCCTCAGTTTCCTTATCTGTAAAATGGGGTGCTATGGAATGAAATTGCTGTCTTGTAGGTTTAAAATGTTGGAATATTCTCTTTTATAGATCAGGGATCTGAGATTCAAAGAATCTGTTAATAATATCTCACAAGGCTTTGTAAGGATTGTGTATTGAGGCAGTTATTTGGCACACAGTAATCATGCAGAAATGGGTTTGCATTCATCATTGCTATTATTGTAATTAGTGGAGGAAGTAATTAGAGGAAATAATCAGTAAAGGAAATAATTAGTAAGTAGTAATTAGAAAAGTAAGCATGTCTTCTGTACCAATTTTATTTTCTCGGAAATTAAGAGAAGCAATAATGTAATTGGATTTCTCCAGAAACACAGATGAAAACCAAAGGCACTAAGTCAGATAGAATCATCTGTGATGACTCCTTAATTCAGTACAAATTTTCATTTTTGCTAAACATGATATTTCTTTCACTTTTTAAAAAAGATTTATTTATTTGAAAATCAGAGTTACACAGAGAAGGAGAGGCAGAGAGAGAGAGAGAGAGTGAGGTCTTCCATTGCTGGTTCACTCCCCAATTGGCCACAATAGCCGGAGCTGAGCCAATCCAAAGCCAGGAACCAAGGGCTTCTGGGTCTCCCAGGCAGGTGCAGGGGCCCAAGGATTTGGGCCATCTGCTGCTGCTTTCCCAGACCTTAGCAGAGAGCTGGTTCAGAAGTGCAGTAGCCGGGACTCGACCTGTGAGTAAAACATGATATTTCACAAATTTACAAAGCGCTTATGGGATCCAGCACTGCAGGCAGTAGCTTTACCTTCTACACCACAGAGCTGGCCCCTAAACATGATATTTCTCTTTTTTTTTAAGATTTTTATTTATTTAATTGAGAGGTAGAGCTACAGACAGAGGGGGAGACAGAGAGAAAGGTCTTCCTTCTGGTGGTTCACTCCCCAAATGGCCACAACAACCGGAGCTGCGGCCATCCAAAGCCAGGAGCCAGGTGCTTCTTCCTGGTCTTCCACGAGGGTGTAGGGGCCCAAGGACTTAGACCATCCTCCACTGCCCTCCCAGGCCACTGCAGAGAGCTGGATTGAAAGAGGAGCAGCTGGGACTAGAACCGGCGCCCATATAGGATGCTGGCACCGCAGGCGGAGGATTAACCTACTGTGCCATAGCGCCAGCCCCAAAACATGATATTTCACAAAACATTTGCAGTATCCATTACAACCAGAATTTATTTTCATACAGTTTAATTGGTTTATAGCAATGAATCCTAAAACTAATGTATTTTATAAGGGTAAATAACATGAAATGTTTGTCCCACTTAAAAATAGTATAGATTTTTAAAAGGAAGTGCCTTAAGCTATCGAGAATTTACGGCATATAACTGTTGAGCTCTGTTTAGAGAAAGTGGACTGTTACTCTGTCCATTGTACTTGTCTCTGTGTCTGCTTCCTCTTTGTAAATGAGGATAGTGATAGCAGCCATCACCAATGACTGTTCTCAGGGTGGGAAATTATACATGCAAATTCCTTAGCACACGGGAACCGCGCAAGGGACGTTTCAGACTACTCTGGTTACTCTTGGGGTTGTTCTAATTTTATTTCACCAACTTTTTTAAAGTCAAGGCACATCTGCTGTCTTCTGTTCAGTACTTTTGAGTCCTGGATGTCACTGGAGGACTTCTAACAGCTCTTGGGGTCCCTCCCTGTGAGGTGGCATTTAATGGCTTCAGGATGTTGCCTTGTGCTTACCGAATAACCCATCGCCCTTTAATTGGAAACAGCATAGGAAAATCATCATGAAGAGAAGAAATCATTTCAAGTGCTTTGAAAATACAAAAGAAAATAAATTGTCCCTGGTAAGTAAATATAGGATACTGATCTCTGAAGAGTCAGGAAAATTCTGTGCCAGGGCCTTTGGCAAAAGGCAATAAGCGTTTCATTTCCTCCCCTGTCCCCACCCACACTCTTGTCTTCTAAATTAGAAGATGTTCTTATAAGGCTGCCTTTTCTAAGTAAATGATAATGTGTTACACTCCTTGGTGTGTTTAGCTCTTCCAACAGTGGTGAGTTATTTTCATCAGTCAAGATCAAGCTAAAATGAAAAACAAAATCTGTGAAAGGGAGTGGTGGATAATATCATAGAAGTCATCTGTATTTTTTTTTCTTTCATTAAAACTTAACATTTTCCATTGGAGGGTGCTCAGCGTGACTGTTATTAGATTGAATTGTGTAAATATTCTGTTACATCTGTTGGCTGGCGCAGGAAGTCAGAGTGCAGGGATCCATTCCCAGGGCTCGGATCTTTTGCCTGGCTGCCTGCCAGATGGGGAGATGTTGACCAGAGTAGTAGCATCCTGGGGCAGAGCGCAGTCAGGGAGAGGAAGCTTGTCACTCAGTCCTCCCGCATGTCGAAGTGACCTTGCAGCCCATGTTGTCTAGGTGATCGTGGGTCCCATCGGCTGCAGACGCAGGGCTGAGAGTCGACACAGATACGATTAAGGCTCCTGTTGGGATATTTATTCCATTATGTTCTTCATTATCTTCCCCTCCTCTGACCCTCTGCTTCTCTTTCTCATTTGAGAAGGAAAATTTCTTCTTTGTCTTCACTGTCCCCATTCTCTTTTCTTGCACTGTTATATTCATAGGCTTCTTTTTCCCGGAGAAGCTTCCTGAGCAAACCAGGACATAAAATCTATTGTTGCATGACCTGCAGAAGAAAGAGGAACAAAGACTGTGTGTGTGTGTGTGTGTGTGTGTGTGTGTGTGTGTGTGTCTGAGAGAGAGAGAGAGAATGAATATAGGAAGTTCTGTGCAATTCTCTCTTGCGTATTTTTCACAGAAAGGTAGCAACATACTCAGTCTTTGGAAGCAGAGATGAGGTGAATTAGCCTACAAAGCTATTCCATTCTTGTAGGCCTTGCATGATTTTCAGGGAGCGTTTTAGCTGTCCAGCACCTCACTTATGGAATCCTCTACGTAAGGTTTTCTAGACCCTTTATCCTTCCATTGTGCCCTAGGGTCCTGCTCTCTTTCCACCATCCACACAGCTTTCCTGTGTGGGCCACTTGCTTCTTCCAGTGAGGGTGTTCTCATTTTCTAACAAACATGTCATGTTTATTCTTCCCTCAACTCTGTGTGATTTTTCCCCTGCTTTTTTTCTGAAATAGAATATTCCTCTAATTAATTCCTCCTATGTACAGGATAGGCAATAAAGACTTTTATAAAACTGATGGATTAACAATGATCCTTATTTTTAATTTAGTAAGTGATAAAATTGCATTCAATCAAAACAAGCATTTATTTTGGGAGTAATTCATATACTTCATTCAAACCTTTGAGGATGTAATTATGAGTTGAAGTTCGTAATCTGCACTAAATGCCAGTGGAAGCTGGAAGATACTTTTGCTGCAGGATTAGAAAGGATGGAGGGCAGGGAGAAGCATACAGGGGTGACAGGGACTGGGGTCTGTGGCACAGCCTGAAACAAGGATAATCTTACAAACTGGAGTTACAGCGAAGGCCCCAGTGCCCTGGAGTCATGGTAGCGAGGTGACTTCTTCGGTCCTTGGTATGAGTTCTTTTTTCGCATTCACACAAGTCCTATTATTTGTTATGATATAGAAACTTATTTCTCAGTCCTATTTCTAGTTAAAAGGTTTGCAATTTTTATATACTGCTCTTTCAAAGTGAGAACCATATCTTTCCTAGCACCTGGGCTCTTCTAAAATAGTGTTCTTTGGGTGGATGATTAACATAAGCCACATGTGTGCATGACTAGGTATGTACAGCAGGCTTTTATACCTGTGGAAAGTATACTTTTATATTTGGTGAGTGAATGAATGTGCATCTTTATTCTTAGTGTGCGAATGGCAAGAACCAAAAAGCCTGACTTTGCTGATGTTTTATTTGATGCTTTTTAAAAAGAACAATTTATTTAAAGGGTGATTATAATAGTGACAAATATATTTGTTTGTGTGTCTTCATGTTTTTGCTTGATATGTAGTAGCAAGGCACAACGTTGAGAGGCTTAATGAGAAGACCAGTGGTTGAACTGAGAATCGGGAGTTCTAGGCATAAATCTAATTTACCTTTACTGTTAGCTTAACTACATTGCTGAAACTGGCTCAACCTACTGTATTTATATTATGGTAGATTTAGAATAGATGACTTTGAGACCTATTTTGTCTATTTGAAATCAAGAAGACAACAGGAAAAAAGAAATGCCCATGCATGCTTATATTTTCTCTGTTAATTTGAACAGGAAAGTATTTTCTCAAAATGGTAAGTTTATTTGCATTTCTTCAAGTCATAATTTGCAGGATATATGTATTTCTAAAAAGCAATAAAACCTCATAATGGTATCTGTTTAATGTATACTTTCACTTGATTTTCCTTTTTTATGCTTAAAATGGCATTTCAGTGAATTGATATGAAAGTTTGCATTTTCTAATGTTTTTTTTTCTTTTCTTTTAAATAGATGTTTGTTTTTATTTCCTTACATATTTTCTAAATAATAAGGTAGTTCCCAGAAATACCAATTTAATCAATATTTTCATAGATTTAAGCACAATTAATGTTATTATAAATCTAACTTCGTTACTGGACTCTAAATGCAACATCATTGATAGCGCTTACATTTAGTTCTCTTTCGTCTTCTAGAAATGCTATGGAGATAATGGACACGGACCATCTCCTAGAATTAAACCATTTTTTTCCTTTGTTAAAATGGCTACAGTAATCTGACCTAGCCACTCACTTCAGTGAAGCGCCCTAATATTATGGGGACAGAAGAGGCAACGTATTTACAATTGTTCAACTGTTCTTGAGCTTTTCTCATTTGAGTAAAATATGCCAAAGAGAAAAAGAAGTGGTTGTTTGTACACTTGACTTGATTAATTTAGCTCCATGTCTCAAATTGTGGCTTTTTAAAAATCGCATCATGACCCTATTCCATGAAAAGATTCCTTAAGATTTATATTTGAAAAAAAAAATTAAAATTCTAAATTGAAAATAGCTTTTATTTTTGGATTATAAAAAGTGACACACTGTCATTGTAAAAATAATTCAACCATTGCAGAGAAGGATAAAATAATATAAAAACAATATAAAAAGCATACTAGCCAGAAATAACACATTATTAACATCTTGGCAAACAATTTTTCTGACTCCTTTCTCTGCGTACATACCAACTCACCATCACTCTTACAGTCCATTCTATATAAAAAGTATGTTGCTTAATATGCTTCCTTATTAGCAGATCATGGACATTTTTCAGTGTCTGAATACTGATTTACATTACAATTTATAATGGCTGTAGAGTATTACCTGGTGGGGAGTGAGCATAATTTGCTTACTCCATTCCCTACCAGACTTGCAAGTTATTTATAATTTCTACCCATTAAAATAATGCTAAAATGAATACTTTTATATATGCAAAATATGTTTGTGTACTTATCTGATCATTTCCCTAGATCAAATCCCTGGAAGTGAAATTGTCAGTACAAGCATATGCTATATGGTGGCTTTCTTAAACTTACTTCTTCTATTTGTGTGTGTGAAAATTAAGAATGTGTGGATTAATTCAGGACTATTATATAAAAAAGGAATTTTCCTATTGATACATGTGACTCATTATTATATTAGCCAATATAGATTTTTTTTTGCTGATACAATAAGTAGGTGTAACATTCAAATCTTGACAGTGTATTTCCATTCCTAAACATTTAAAAATGTTAATAGTGATTTGTAACTTTAAAAAATGTCAAAATTTTTGATAGAAAAAATTTCAAGTATGTTTCAGTTCTTTCAAATTTCCAGATGGTTTCAGAACAAACATTTTTCATAAATAAGTATCTTAGAAGTGGTAGGCAAGGAGATATTAATAGGAAGACCAGGTGTGTGGCTTTCCATGGAATTATCAAGACAAGATAGATAAATCAGGTTTAAGAAAATCTATCCTAAATAACCAAATTGGATCTCTCTTTGGAGAGGTATGGAAAATAGGTGTACGGATGATAAAGCTATATATAAAAGTAGTGCTAGGCCGGCGCCGCGGCTCACTAGGCTAATCCTCCGCCTAGCAGTGCCGGCACACCGGGTTCTAGTCCCGGTTGGGGTGCCGGATTCTGTCCCGGCTGCCCCTCTTCCAGGCCAGCTCTCTGCTGTGGCCAGGGAGTGCAGTGGAGGATGGCCCAGGTGCTTGGGCCCTGCACCCCATGGGAGACCAGGAAAAGCACCTGGCTCCTGGCTCCTGCCATCAGATCAGCGCGGTGCGCCGGCCGTGGCGGCCATTGGAAGGTGAACCAACGGCAAAGGAAGACCTTTCTCTCTGTCTCTCTCTCTCACTGTCCACTCTGCCTGTCAAAAAAATTAAAAAAATAAAAATAAAAAAATAAAAAAAGTAGTGCTAATAAATACCATTGTAGTACTGTTTTCCTAAAGTTATAGGGTCCATTTCAAAAGAAGACCTTCCTATTAGGAAACACATCGTTGAAACAGTTTTTTTTTTTAAAGATTTATTTTATTTATTTTAAAGAGTTACAGAGAGAGGTGGAGACAGAGAGAGAGAGGTCTTCCATCTGCTGGTTCACTCCCCAGATGGCCGCAATGGCCGGAGCTGCGCCAATCTGAAGCCAGGAGCCAGGAGCTTCTTCCAGGTCTCCCATGTGGGTGCAGGGGCCCAAGGACTTGGGCCAACTTCTATTGCTTTCCGAGGCAACAACAGAGAGCTGGATCAGAAAAGGAGCAGCTGGGACTAAAAC